AATGAATCTTCTTAAGAAAAAAATTAGTCACACAAAAATATATAAAATGAATAACAAACATAGTATAATGTTAAAAATAACTTATGAGTCCCCCTTCAACAGTATATGTACTCTTAAGAGGTGGCTGCGGTCGAGGGACTTGGCTCAGGTGGGGCTGAAATTGGTCAGGATAGAAGTGTAGGTGTTGTTGCACGTATTGCACTAGGTGGTGGAGTAGGTGTGTCAGTAGCAGTAGTCACAGCAAGTGGGGAGTAGGTGTGGGAGTAGCAGATGAGGAAGCAAGAGGCACAGAAAGTGTGGCAACAGTAGGTGGGAGAGTAAGTGATGCAGGTGGCTTGACAATAGTAGGTGAGGGAGTAGGTTTGGAAGCGGTAACAGAGTAGTAACAGAAGAAAATGATCTCCTCTTCCTGCCCCCTGCTAGTAGTCTCTAATGTCCCCAGAAAAGGGGTCTTTCATGCGGATGATCACCCGCACCACCTGTGGCCATCTGTAAACAAAGAAAGGACATTAAAAAAATTAGTATAGACAAAAAAATAATCATGAGTGGAATAAAAGTAAACAAAGGAAAGAGCAAAATATTAAACATATGTTAATTGCACCAAAAACAAAAAAAAAAGGAAAATAAGACAAAGTATCAAAAGTAAAGACATGAAGGTGCAAAATTAAAGTAAGACGCTTATTGAAGCTGCATCACCAAGTAATAAAACTAAAAGAAGAAAAGTAGCATTAATCACTTGTCCAAATTTACATACCATTGTTATTAAGTTTCATTAGAGGAACTCATCGCTGAAGATGAACTTTTCTGCCTCAATGTCATCAACATCCTCATCCATATCATGAGGAACATCTTTCTTTGGTATCCTCTAAGGCAATCTTTTAACCGTTTGTGATGCCCTAAATATGAAAATCTAACATACCTTCCTTTTATATTATGCAGGTTAATACTTTTCCTTGGTGTATTCTTCATAACCACAACCAAATCAACTTTATCTCTTGCTTTACTAGGATATCAAAGGTAATAAACCTCGGTAGCTTACGAGCTAGAACAAATGGATCAAACTTTTCATATCGTCTGCTCATTTTGAATTTGATGATATCATAAGGCGTAAGTGTTCAGGTTCCTCGATTCAAAATAGAATTGAACCTCTGACAGTTGAACAAGTATATAATGTAGTTGACATAATCCAGATATTGCAATTGAATTGCTTTGTCAAGTATGTCGTAATAACTAATCTCGCTTTCTCTATGTTGTTTCATTTAACAACAACACAATAATTATATATCTTCATTCCTTCACACCACAAACTCTTATATTCTAATATAATCTATAATTGTTTACATCAACTATTTGCCATGTAACAACGTTGCAATTAGGCTCCCAGGCAAGATCTAGTAATATTTGATTCGTGATTTCGTTGCTTATATAAATGACCCATAAAAATTTCAAATGTACTATTATTCCAACTTCAAACGTGACGATTATATTAGGTACATGTGATTTGAAGAGTTGCTTCAATGTACATATAATTTGAATCATGTCGAAAACTCTGCTTTAACCAGCTTCTTACTTATTATAGACTCATTTTCTGTGTTCAAGTTGTTAATGAATAATTTGTTCACATCTTTGTCATTTCTACTTTTGAGTTAATTAGTATATATATAACATTCTCAATAAAAAATTATATGATTGAGTTTGGGCACCAAGAATCTTATTGTATAAATGGTTGGACTTCGTTTGCAGTTCATTAGAACTTATAATTTAGCTACCTGAATCTCTTTATCACTTTGATATCTTGTACCGTGCCTCAACGATGGCTCTTTGGACATTTAAAATATAAATAAATTTTGGTTGTGAAGGCATGTCACCTACAATATGATATGTTTGATGTCCTTGTTCAAAATAATAGGAGCAGAAAGTAATTATCGTCTGCATGAAGAATGCTTCGCAGATCAATCCCTCTTGATGTGATTTATTCTTAATCTTTTTTTTATTTTATTTAAAAATATGCAACACAAACATATTTTACATTGAATATGGAGGTTGTTTAGTATGAAATAAAATGCAACTCACAATTGTATGCATCAGGAAAACATACATCTCAAAGGGATACAACCATTTGTACTAAGTACACTAGAACCCCCTAATGTAGCCTCATAACATAGATGTATAAGCAAATGCTCCATTGACTCAAAGAAAGCAGAAAAAAATACCTGCTCGAGCTTTCATAATATTAAGGGAATACTCGCATCAAGATTTCTCAACGAACAAACATTCAGAGTCCCTACACACAACTCTTTGAAGAATATACTTACTTTGATCAAGGGAACAAGCACCAGCTTTGGTAATGCATGAAATGCAATAGGTAATAAGCATTATTAAAATATATGACATTCGTGACTCTTCATTCCAAACACCTTACCCATTCCCAAGTCAAAACCACATCTCAAATTTGAGACACGACGATTGGGAAACTTTGAAGAATTCACACACTCAAGTATTGTTCTCCGTTGATCTAGTGTAAGTCAATATGTAGCTTTGGGCTTTATTAATTTATTTGAATTTTTCTCTTAAAGTTCTAAGATCCTCCTCTCACAACACACTTTTAGATCCATTCTAGCTTTCACATTATCCTTTACTTTACCCTTGATACCCTCAAATTATAACCCTAACTTTGATACTAACTTTTTTTATTTTGTATATATCATTTGACACTAATTTTCCTATAGGTTTCATCTTTTTCAATAATGTTGCTACTTGATTGAATGCTTCTCTATAGATATTCACATTCAAATCAGATTTGATGATCAATATTCTCAACACCACTAATAACTTCGTATGTGTGATGCAACAATCCCATAAAGGTTGAAGAGCTAGTAGCTCATAGAACTGTTATGATTCATTGTTTGGTGTTTCACTTTCGTGTGGAAGACTCTCAACCAAAAGAGTTGTGTGAGTGTCATGAACCATTTCTTTGTATGTATTAGAATCATATTCCTTTGCTAGAGGGTCATAACTTGTTGAGGCTCCTCTTTTATTGTACTGAACTTCTGGTTCTTGCTCACCTTGTGCTATCCAATACCAATAATTTGGTTTGAATCCCTTGTGGTAAAGATCCAATTTAAGTTCTTCAGGTCACAAATACACTTCATTTTGTGCTTTGCACGAGGACAATAAAACATACCCTTAGAATCATAAATGGGCAGCTATGTGCCACCTACACGAACTCAACACCAATAAAAAACTCATTTATGTGTGTTTTTGGTCCCGAATATAATCGGTTATACATCCAAGCTCTTAAATTATAAAAATCTATCTGTAGCATAAATATAGCTTTATAGATCAGTGCAACTATTATGAAAAATAAAAATTAGTCAATACTGATCAATATTTGAAGTCGGCATTACTTGGTCAAGCAGATCTCGAGAACTCACAAGGCTCATTAGTTGGTCGACATTTAATGTGATCGAACCATGTCTAATACATCTCTATCTCTTCTTGTCCACCACTCGATTTACAATAACCCTACTAAATCATGACTACGACAACTTTATCTGCTCGATGCATTACCCCACTTCAAACAGTCAACATGAATTCTCCAATAATAACATCCTTATCTATATATATTGACCACATTTTTGGTGATGTTTGTTTCCTTTTCTAGAGTTCAGGATCTAGTCATAAGACTTTTTTGTTGACTCTCTTAGAGGACTAATGTCAGGACCCACACTAATTAGAAAATTCAAGGCGCCTCTTGATTATTTGTAGTTTCATATGTGTGGTTTCAAATCCTCAACTTTCAGTTGATTCGATCGGAACCAACACATCAAAACTCAGGTCGAGTTCCTATAGGAATTGAGAATGCCTTAGAAATATCTTTTGAGACTTAGGGTTTTCGATCTTTCAAGCGATGCAAACACCACAATTCACACACAATTCACTAACCAAAACCAAAAGCAAATTTAAAACAAAATGAAACCCCTCGTGACCCGAACTTGAGACATTTTTGCAAGAGTCGAGCAACTCGATGTCGGGAGCGTTCTGCTAAACCTTGGTCGATGCTAAGGTGAGGGTCGGTCGACGAATATTGTTCGCCACACCGCACGTGAAATTGGCTTAAATTGACCCGATCATCGACGAATTTGTCCAGACGACCTCAGATAAAGAAACAGACCATGCGAGCACGTCTAGAACGTCAAATTTATCTAGAAATGATACCTATTTTGCTATGATTTCATGTACGAGTCAGTAGTGCACAAATTGACATGTTTAAATATTAAAAAAAAGTTATAAATATAAAAATTTAATAATAAAATAAAAACAAACAAAGTTTCTTTTTAGAACAAAGACTTATACTTATTTCTTCTAGAGAGGGACTTATCTTCCTATTAGAGTAAAGTGGGAAACTAGTTCTGAAACATAACCAGAATCATTTAACAAATTTTAATTCAACCTTGTTTTAATTCCGAGAACATTCTAGAAAAAAAAAATACCGGATTAAGTTTTCAATTTCTCTGTTTATTAAATTCGAATTTCATTACAAACAAGCCGCAAGATCATTTTTTTTAACTCTAATCAAAAGGTCATGCTTATTTAGGGCCTGTTTGAGTCAGCTGCAACTTATTGAATAATCTGCTAATAAGCTAGGTGCGGTGACTATTACAAATTTTTATTTTTTTGGAAAAACCAGACTGCAGCCTGAAAGCTGTCACCGCACCTAGATAGGAACGATGTGAAAATGATGTTTTCAACGTTTTAAAAACGCATAAGCTGCCATAATGCAGTTTACCCAAACAGACATGGTGCATTTTGGAAATGCCACCGCACTAAATAAGCTGCCCCAAACGGGCCCTTAATCTTCATTGGGTTAAAAGACCGTGCTTATATAACTTCATTA